AGAAGAATCAAACCATAAGAAATTTGCAAAATCAAATTGATCTTCTTGAAACTGATATGTCCATGAAAAATAGTATTATTGAGTCCACTCAGGAAAATCTTAGAATTACTAGTTTGTCAAATTCATCTTTGTCTGCTGAAATTGATGATGTTAAAAATCTTTTGATCAAAGAACAAACTGTGCTTCATACTTGGGCAAAATCTCATAAGAATGCTAATTATATTATTTCAGCTCAAATTCCACATTCTTGTGAGAAAATTCTTGGGGGTAATTTTGCAGAAGCTAAAAAAGTTTTTAAAACACAAGAAAAGGGATCTGAGGTCTATTCCATGAATGAGATGAAAAACAATTTCAAAAATAAGTTTGTCAATAACTCTTTTATTAATCAAAGCTTAATTGATGAATATTGCATTACTAATTCTGATGGTATCACTGAGTGTTATGTTGAAATTACCGGAATTGATCCTACCTCTTATCCTGCACATCTTGTTAGACCAATCCCTCTAACTGAGAATATTATTGCTTTTCCTATCTCAAATGGAGTGTTTCATGCTGTTCATGAACAACTCAAGCACTTCCCTGATTGCAATCCATCTGTGAATGAGTCAAAATCAGATACTGATAGTTTATCACCTAACACTGATCAAACTCCTCCTGATACTGTATTCAGTCGTAACTCAATAATAAGCAAAAGGACTCAAAGCTCTCTTGGTGAATCTTACATGTCAAAATGTGTTAAATCAAAAAATTTGCTCATCAAGAAGAACTTTGGTACTAGAGTTTGTTACAGATGTGGTAATTCCTCTCACAAGATCAGTGAATGTTCTTTTGATAAATCATCCTCAAGAGCTGAAAATATTAAAGTTAGAAATGAAAAATGGACTCTTAAGTCAAACTCTTTAAACTGTCTTCCTAAGGAGTGTTATAACCTATTATCAAATAACCTTGTGAATGACCCATCTTTGAATGGGTCAGTGTGTTCTAACTAGTTTCTCAGTACTGCAGGGTCAGGAGCATCTTTGGTATTTAGATAGTGGTTGCTCAAGGCATATGACGGGATCAAAGTCTCTCCTGGAAGATTATGTTAAGAAAACTGGTCCTGCAGTTACTTATGGAGACAATGGAAAGGGGTTCACTAAGGGATATGGGAACATCAAATGCAATAACGTGGTTTTTCAAAACGTTTCATATGTAAAGGGTCTCAAACACAACCTCATTTCTATCAGTCAGTTGTGTGATGCTGACTATGAAGTTCATTTTTCAAAGAAGGAAGGAAGAGTTGTAAACACTGACAATAACATCGTACTCTCAGCAAGTAGAAAAGATGATATATATATGTTCTTGACATGTTCTCAAGTGACAAGGCACTGATGCAATGTTTCTTTACAAAGTCTCAGACGAATCTTAGCTGGATTTGGCACAAAAGGTTTTCTCATCTGAATTTCAAGAATTTATCCAAGATATCCAATCAAGACCTAGTTAGAGGGATCCCAAAATTCAGCGTTGTGAAAGACAAGATGTGCTCAGCTTGTGAACAAGGAAAACAAACCAAGTCCTCCTTCAAACCCAAATCATGTTCCAGTATATCAGTCCCTCTTTATCTACTCCACATGGACCTGTTTGGACCTATTCCTGTTCGTTCACTAGGTGGAAATAAGTATACTCTAGTGGTCGTTGATGAGTTCACTCGATTTACTTGGGTAGCTTTCTTGAAGAAGAAAAGTCATGCTGCACAGGAAATTATCTCACTGATTCGTAAAAATGAGACACTGACAGGTCTTAAAGTTAAGCAACTAAGAAGTGATCATGGTACTGAGTTCCGAAACTCAACTCTTGAAGAATTTTGTGACATCAAAGGAATTGGACAAAACTTCTCAGCTCCTCGTACTCCTCAGCAAAATGGTGTTGTTGAACGAAGGAATAGAACACTGATTGAGGCAGGAAGAACCTTGATGATCCATGCTGGTCTTCCTATGTCTTTTTGGGCTGAAGCTGTCAATACAGCGTGTTTTACTCAGAATCGATCTCTAATTCACAGGATTCACAAGAAGACTCCATATGAAATGCTGAAAGATCGAAAACCAGATGTATCCTTTTTTCATGTGTTCGGATGCATTTGTTATATTCTAAATCAGCGTGATTCAAGGTCCAAGTTTGAACCTAAGGCTGATAAAGGTATTTTTGTTGGGTACTCTTCTATTTCAAAGGCTTTTCGTGTTTTTCATGTGAATAGGCAATGTATTGAAGAATCCATTCACGTGAAGTTTGATGAGGAATCATACACTGATGAAAAGGTCACTCATTCTTCCTCTATCTTTCAAGAGCTCCTCTCTTGTTCATTCGATGAAGCACCTTCTGCAGAAGATAAGACTGATTCCTCTGATCCTATTATTCCAGTTCCATGTTCCTTAAATCCAGATATTGCCGCCACATCAGTAGATAATTCATTAAGTGCTGATGAAACCCTTGAAACTGAAGATTCTCCTGAAACTGATTATGTGTCAGTGTCTATCTCTCCTGAATCAGCATCAGTCATTGAACATCGAGATCATCCTGTTGATCGAATTATAGGGAATATTCATGATGGTGTCCGAACCAGATCTAGTGCACTTAATAATTTTTGCATGTATGTTAACTTTGTTTCAATGATCTTACCTGATAAAGTACACATAACTCTTCAAGATGCTGATTGGATCAAAGCCATGCAAGAAGAACTGAATGAGTTTGAAAGGCACAAAGTTTGGACTCTTGTTCCAAGACCATCCGGGAAAACTATCAATGGAACTCGTTGGGTCTTTCGTAACAAGGTTGATAAAGATGGAATCATCACTCGCAACAAGGCAAGGCTTGTAGCTCAAGGGTTTACTCAAATTGAATCCATCGACTACGGGGAGACTTTTGCTCCAGTTGCTCGCATTGAAGCTATCAGACTGTTTCTCGCATACGCATCCTACATGAACTTCATTGTCTATCATATGGATGTGAAAACAGCATTCCTACATGGTGTGTTAGAAGAAGAAGTATTCCTAAATCAGCCCCCAGGCTTTGTGGACAAAGATCATCCTGATTATGTGTACCGGTTAGACAAAGCTGTTTATGGACTGAAACAAGCTCCCAGGGCTTGGTATGAGACGCTGACATCGTATCTGCTTGAAAATGGATACAGACGAGGAGCAATCGACAATACTCTCTTCATAAAAAACAAAGGATTAGACATGGTTCTTGTTCAAATTTATGTCGATGACATTATTTTTGGCTCTCCAAATGAGACACTGAGCAAGGAATTTGCAGAGATCATGTCTCAAAGGTTCGAAATGAGTATGATGGGGAAGATGACCTTTTTCTTAGGTCTTGAAGTTCAGCAACAAAAGACAGTTATTTCCATTTGTCAAAGTAAATATATATCTGACCTGCTTGTTAAGTATTCTCTCAGTGACTGCAAACCAGCCTCTACTCCAGTGTCTAAAACTGATAAGATACACGCTGATCCAACTGGAACTGATGTTAATCACTCTCTGTATCGAGGAATGATTGGATCCCTCTTATATCTCACAGCAAGTCATCCTGATATTATGTTTGGAACCATTCTCTGTGCTCGATTCCAAGCTAATCCAAAAGAATCTCACCTCATGACTATCAAACGTATATTTCGATACTTGAAGGGAACTCAAAACCTTGCTCTGTGGTATCCTCGTGACTCAGCATTTGAACTTTATGGATACACTGACTCAGATTATGCTGGATGCAATTTAGACAAAAAGAGTACATCTGGTGGATGTCACTTCCTCGGCAATCGTCTCATCAGCTGGTCCAGCAAGAAACAAACATCAGTAGCCATCTCAACTGCAGAAGCTGAGTATGTTGTTGCTGGGAGATGTTGTGCTCAGCCTTTATGGATTCAAAATCAGCTTCTCGACTATGGGTTCAAGTTCTCAAAGACTCCCATATATTGTGACAACAACAGTGCCATTCAGATCACACAAAATCCTGTTCAGCACTCAAAGACAAAGCATATTGAAATCAGACATCACTTCATCAGAGATAATGTTGAAAAAGGAAAAGTTGTTCTTGAACATGTCAAGACTTCGGAGCAACTTGCTGATATCTTCACAAAGGCACTGGATTCTCAATCAACTGCTTAAATTATCGGAGAACTGGGAATGATTTCCTTGTAATTAATTTTAACGTTTAATTGTGCTAATGTTTGAGATTGTCTTATAAGCTGATGTACATTGTGCTGATGATGACATACTGATGATATTTGCTACTGAGCACTTTGGTTTGATTTCTTATCTTGATCTCTTCTTCAAGTCTTCTAAACAAAAGTTGAATGATTCACTGTATTAAACCATACACTGATAACAACTTAAAAATCTTTGCCGATGGTTAGATCAAAACACCAAGATTTATCACACGCAACTACCCCTTCTCACCAATCTTACACTGATTCTGTGATTCAGTGTGCCAAAACACACGCTGATGAGAGTCTAAAGATCTTTGCCGATGGTTAGACCAAAACACCAAGGTTTATCACATGCAACAATCCCTTCTCTACCCTCCTCTTATTCAGTGTCTAATGATTCAGTAAGATAAACCACTCACTGATGAAATCACAACACTCTGTGTCGATGGTTAGATAATGTAACTAGTATCTATCACACGCACCAATCTGCTTGCTAGCCCAGATTAAGCAAGTTGTACCTTGAATTGATGGAGAAATATTCTCAGCACATAACCTTTGTGACACTGAGCTCAGCACTTCCGCAACCTCTGATTGACACTTCACCTTCAGTCAACGGCTCTTTTATCCAACGGCTATTTTTTTACTATGACAGATTGTTACGATGCGCCGTTATTTTTCATAAAGATAATTATTACCTTTTTAAAATAAAAAAAAGGAAACCCCCTTTCATTCCATATTTAAATCTCTTTATCCCTTGGTTTAATTTTTCCTTCCAAAACCTTTCTCAAAAAACCCTAGATTTCTCAAATACTCTCCAATGGCGGCATCTCTGTTCACATACTCCTCAACCTCTCGAAGAGTCATTCCTGCCCCAAACTCTCCTCCACTTCCAATTCACATCAAGGCAACCAATGTCGTATTCAACCCTGACATTCCAGAGGTTCATCGAGGTCTTGGACTCGATGATTTCGTCAATTTCTTGATTTCTTGCCGCCTCCGATATGCGATCAGTGATGTACCATCCGAGTTCTTCCCTGAACAAGTATGTGAGTTTTACTATACTGCAACAGTTAATGAAGAAAACAATGCCATCACCGGAACCATTGGTCATGGCAGACACTCTGTCTTCATCACTGCAGAACTTCTCAGTACTGCGTTAAGGTTACCTCTTTTCGAACCATTTTCTGAACCTCCAACTATTGAAAGATGTAAACGAATGTTTGATCAACTGGGCTATGATCATTCAAAGGCTGGTACTCGATCAGCTCTTATTTTGCGTCAGTGCATGACCCCAGGCTGGAAGTTTTTCACTGCTGCTTTATGCAAGTGTGTGGGCCACAATTCTCGCAGTGGTGATCAATTGAGTAATTATGAGCAACAAGTCGTCTGCTCTCTTCTTCTCAACAAAAGATTAGATTACGGGGCACTATTCTTTGATCAGCTTGTTCAGCTTCTACGTGCAAATGTGCGTGCTGATCATGTTCCCTTTCCACGCTGGATTGCCCTGGTGTTCGACAAATTCTTCGCTGCTGACTACTTTTCTCACTCTGGGAATCCAATCCAATGCCCTCGAATGTCCGTTCGTATGTATCAGGATGATCCTTTGGATACTGACATTGGGATCTCTGATAGGATGAGAGAATAGATTGCCCATCCATACACTATGCCTTCTCTCTCAGCTGACACTGATGAAGGAGGTGCTGATGGTGATCGTGTGGATCATGCTGATCAAGAAGTGGAACATTATGATGGCGGCCATTTCTCCCCTCAACTTTCTCATCACCTTATCCCAGTCACTGGCCATGCCTCCTCAGCACCACAGGATTCCATGCCTCTGGGGGGGGGGCAACCATCTCAGGGGGAGCATCAGTCTCAGGGGGAGCATCCATCACAGGGGGAGCATCAGTCTCAGGGGGAGCATCCATCACCAGCAGCTCACCACTTCTCTCCAAGGATGCAACCTAGCTCTCCAGTTGCTCCAGGTACCTCAATGGTTCAAATTCCTGCTTCCGCATTTTCTGAACTGATGTCACTGACTCGGGACATGAGTCAGCGTCTGCTTCGTATTGAGGCTGATGTTCAACAAATCAAGGAGGTTCTCTTACTTACTCCTCCCTCTAGTCCCAAATCCAATGATGTTCAAAAAGGGGGAGATACTGATGCTGATGCTGATGATCATGCTGATGGTGACCCAAATGCTCATGCTGATGATGAACAAAATGAGAAAGACACAGAATCTAGTGACAACACTATCTTTCAGCATGAATCACCCAACCCCATTGAAGAAGCTGATTCTGCGGGGCATAATAGTCCAGCAGCTACTGAAAAGTTGTCTGACGACAGTGAGCATGATGAAGAACATGAATCTGATTCTGCGGGGCATAATAGTCCAGCAGCCACTGAAAAACTGTTTGAAGACAGTGAGCATGATGAAGAGCATGACGAAGAGCGTGATGAACCTGATGATGAATGTCAAATTCTTGACATGAACTTTATTGATCCTCTCATTCCAGTTCAGTAAGAAAGCTTAGATGACCTTGAAGAATCTCTTCCGATATTAGCCGATCCTATTGCTGATCCAATCATTCCGGTCCAAGGAGAGGATTCAGACATTGCCAGTGAAGAATCTCATCCGCTGTCTCGAAAGCGGAAAGTAGAAGATACTGACTTGGATCATTCTCAAACTGATACTTCTTCAACTGTGAAGAGACCAAAGTCCATTGTCAGTATTTCAAATCTTGCCACTGAATGGAACATGTCCCCTGATCAAGTCAAGCAAATTCTTGATGAAGCCAATCAAGCTCAGCTTCTAAAGAACATTGCTCAAGCTGATGAATCTCTTATTCAGCACGAACTTCAGGCCAAGGGATCTTTTGAAGCTCAGATGCAGAAGTTCCTGGAATTTCAGTCCAGGGTTCAGTCTTCTCAACCTCCTCCTAGCTCTAGCAAGCCCAAGACTGACAGTGTTCTTGACCGGATTGATCGAAAGAGATTTGAAGATGTTCTTAATCGGCGGATGTGTGGAGATAAGATCATCAAAGTCAAAGCTTCTAAACCTCGAAACGAGAAAATTCTTACGTTGCTGATCACTCGTCAAGGTCCTCAGCACTCTTATACTGAAGTTGTTAAGAGAGATGACCTGATTAGGTATGGGTATTCGGAATGGATGGAACTGCTTGATCTTGCATCCAAGCAAACCTCGGCTCATTCTTCAGAACTGGCTTGTGCTCTTCATTTGCTGATTAAGAAAGTTCAGCGTTTGGATCTTGTTCCTAAAGAACAACCTCAACATCAAGGCCAAAGGTTGTCAGTTCCTAGATCTCGAAGAACCAAGTTTCATGTTGATGGTGAAGATGTATTGGTTCTAGACTTTGGTATTGGTGCAATTAATAATTCACTTCCTCTAGGTGTTGATCCGGTTCAGCATCAATTCATCTCAGCTCCTGAACACGGGATGTTCTATCTAGACAAAAACAGGAGGATGTGCTTTCAGAGAACTACTGAGATCCCAAAGGCTCCAATCACTCACCTTGTTGGCTTAAGGCAAATGTGCATGATTCATCAAGATCTATCTGGAGAATTTCACATTCATATTGCCATGGAGCTGCTGAACAGAAGACAGGAATTGCTGGACAGTCCCTACTCGCCAGTTAAAATTGAAGCTGAAGCTGAGTATGAAGAATTTCTTTCCAGAGGTGTCTTTATTTAGTTTGTTTTGAACATCATCATATTGGGGGAGATTGTAAGGTCAAACCTTGAAATATGATTATGTTTAAAACAGACTCAGCGTCAGCACATATCTCAGCATCAACACTAACATGTTACCGCTCAGTTTATATTAGCTTAGTTTACTCAGTGTATATGTATTTGATGTAACAAATTCAGTATTTATCTTGTTTCCATAGTTATCGTATATTAGTTAGCTGTAACATCCCTGATTTGTAGGGATTGTCTACAACTGTTCTATATAGTCTTTTGTACGGGTTTGTGAAGAGGTGTCTTTCACAAACCCTAATCGTCGCTTTGTGCACACGATAATCTCTTTGTGAGATTATCTTTCTTAGTGAAAGTTTTTCTTTGTGAATTTCTCTTGTTCTTATTTATTGTCTTTGTTTGATATATCGATTGATCTAAAGGCCTCTTCAGTATCTATTCATTTTACATAGGAATCTCGTACGTTTGCAAGTCCCGAACCAACGTTTAACATCCGAAATCGTTACATTTCTCGTCCGGTGAGTTCATACCCCTACGCTTTTTCCGTGTTTTTCAATGTTTTCAGGGGGAATACAAGCAAACTATAACTGTTTTCAAAACATAACATTGATGTGTTTCAAATAATATTTGGCAAATTTATAAATACCTTTACCCCTTATGTATTATGTTGAGCATAAGGGATGATTTATCAACTACAACTAAATGGATTTTAGTTAAGAAAATAACCAAACTAATCAAATTATTATGGGAATAATTTGGGTCTCTTTAGTGTTAATTTTATCATGTACGAATATGTATATAAAGTTATTAGATAAACTATGTCTGATTCAGTTTATCTCCGTATCATTTGAATGTATTGCCAGATAGTTTCATTGTATGTATCTATATTCACTGTATTATGCTTCATAATCTTTTGTATGTTTGATATCATATGAGAACCTTGTGAATAGTTTAGTACTATTTTGTGTGTTAGTCACTACCCTTTATGGATAATCAGTAAATCCTCCCCGGAAGTGTAACTAGAGTCTCCTGGAGGGATAGCGAGGAATTTGCGAATAGATCTGTTCGGGACTGACAATCCCACACCTTAACTGCTAGCTACAATTAGGCAGGCACGCCTGGGATGACAAATTTTGGATATCATTCGACGTCTGACAAGCGTCAAGGAGGTCTCGTTGTCGTATCAGCATGGTTACCCGACTCACAACACGTATTAATATAAGTTTATTCACGAGTTGGTTTTGGATTTGATTTTATATCAATCTTCTATCTTTAGATCTTATATCTAGTTCGGGATGGTAATCCCATGGTTTTTAGTCTATAGGGTTCACATCTATTTCAGGATGTTATTCCGATGGTTAGAATCTATTTTATCAAACTATTTTGTATCTAGTCCGGGATAGTAGTCCCATGGTTTTCAGTCTATTGATCTTATATCTAATGCGGGATGGTAGTCCCAGGGTCTTTAACTCATATCTAGTACGGGATAGTAATCCCATGATTTCACCTATATCTTGTACGAGATGGTAGTCCCATGGTTTTGAAACTATATCTAATACGAGATGATAATCTCATGGGTTTGAGCCTATATCTAGTATGGGACGGTAGTCCCATGGTTTCCAAATCTATATTTCCATGAATATCAAACTATATCGTATCTTGTCTGGGGTAGTAACCCCATGGTTTCCAATCTATATTTTCATATATATCAAATTATCTTGTATCTAGTCCGGGATGGTAGTCCCATGGTCTTCAATCTGTATTTTCATATGTATCAACCTATCTTATATCTCATTCGGGATAGAAATCCCATGTTTTACACTTATATCTTGTTCGGGATAGTGATCCCATGATTTTCAATATATAGTTTTGTGTATTAAACTATACTTTGTGATATTCAACCGAACTTACATTTAAGAAAATATGGGATTTTCTTGGATAACAAACCTTTTTCGGAAAACTAAAGGAAACTGGTACATTTTCAGAAAAAAAAAACATCTTATGAACTCACCAGCTTTATGCTGATTTTCAAACCGCTTGTATTCTCAGGTTAGCGATAGACAGGTACCCAACGATCCTTTTGGAGAAGACGGAGCATACTGAAGATCTCGTCTTTACTTTTGTTATTATGATGCATATGTATATCACTTGTATAACTTTACTTTTGAAATGTAAATTCTGTATGTAATGTAATGGTTGTTTACTTTACTTACTATGTGCATTGGATTTGATACTTAACGTGGAGTCCGCCCCGGAAATGTTTCCGCCTTCGGTTTTCGGGGTGTGACAATATAAGATTCTCTTGTCAATAAACATTTCTTGACAAAAAAATATTCAAGAGTTAGTGTAGCATTTATCAAGACAAAACACTTCACAAAATTGGTCCTCATTGGTCTTTGTCTAATCCAAGACATCACAACTTAGCAAATTTACATGTGCAAGAATAAGAAACTTTTTCCAAATTCTACATTTGATGAATGTTATAATCCTTCTTAATACTTGTCACTCAATGTCACAATCTTAGCTCTAAGACATGTTTTGGCACGAAGTATGATTGACTTCTTGGTTTAACCATTTCCTAAAATCCCGATTCCTCTTCTTAGACATACAATTGCACAAAGACTCACTTAGAGGATCAATTGAGATATGGTTCTTAATCATTAAGATCTATCATAAAATATAATAAAATGTACTCTCCCTTCTTCTTATAATAGAGAAACTTTTATCTTTGTGCCTACTTGATTCTTCTTATTCGTTCTGCTATTGATTTAAACTCTTTCAAATCAACTCGGAATTGCACTTAATCTTATAAGTATAATCATATCCACTAAACCTTTAGTAAATCATGACGAATATCTTTGTTATTCTTGTGGTGGACTTGATCAACACACAACCTTGTGTACTTGATCTCCTAGTCCTTCACTTGACATT